TTAGAAAATGAGGCAAGTACCCTGGGTTTTGTGTTGTGATGTGATTAGGGAATCAGGTCCTCCGGCTTGTAAAGTGCCGCTTTAGCCGAAGGAAGCTACTCTGTGGGTTCTCAGTGTTCAGAAAAGTAGCCTGTGGTAGAGTATTCTGAGTGTGACTCTGGATGTTGCTAAATCCAGCTCTGATTCAGAGGCACGCTGGAGACCTGCAGGGCTCGCCCCGTCACTGGAACATCGGCTAGTCTCTTGTAGTCACAGGCTGATGATGAGCAAATGCTGGCTGCTCGTTTCCTGCTCTGGAATGCAGCCTTACACTTCCAGAGAATTGGTCAGTTAATCTGTGGTAACGCTTGCTTCTATTTTAATTCATCTTCAGAGAACTGAGAAGTTGCTGGAAACCATCGATCAGCTTCACCTGGAGTTTGCCAAGAGAGCTGCTCCTTTCAACAACTGGATGGAAGGGGCCATGGAGGACCTGCAGGACATGTTCATCGTGCACAGCATCGAGGAGATCCAGGTACCTGGACCCCACTCCGCGCTCCCACTCCACTGGGAATGAACTGTAACTTTCTGTTATTTTTTTTTTGGAGGGAAGTGATTAGGTTGATTGATTGCTTGCTTGATTGATTTAAATGGAGGTACTGGAGATTGAACCCAGGACCTCATGCATGCTTAGCACATGCTCTGCCTCTGAGCTGTGTCCTCCCGCCTTCAATCGTAATTTTAAAAACTTAGAGTTCTCTTTTTGTTTTGTTGTTTTCCTTTTTCTGTATTTTTTTCCCACTAAGAAAAATACGGCTTGAAAGCGCAAATTACCCTTTGACTTTTAGCTTAAAAGCACGTAGATGACTCTTTGCTGCAGCTAAATTAGCATCAGTTAGATAACGGAGAGGCCGTGTAAAAGCTCCTGGTGAAACAGTGTGGACTCATGGACAAAGTGCACACGCAGGCTCACGGAGTTACTCCCAAGGAGAGAGGAGCTTCCTGGCTTCTGAGCTGACTGCTTCGCAAATGTCTGCATACTCCTATTCATTAAGATCTATAGAGTTTTGCCAGGTCATAAGAAATCACGAAACAGTACCTTCTGCCTCCCACAGCCCCAAATGTTCTGCTTTTGATTTCTTCTGGAGTCTCAAAGTTGTAACTAAGACTTCTAAGGGATCATGATAGGGAGGAGGCAGTTTATTTAGAGACCACTTTACAGTGAATTTGATGTGTAGCAGAACATAAAGAGAAAACACTTCTAACTTCTTTTTTCTGTGAAATAGAGAGGTCATCAAACAGAACCCAGGTAGAAAGGAAGTCCTGACAGTTGGGACTGAACCCACACCTTCCTGCCAAGGAGCAGTCTGGGAGGGCTTGCCCCTGGGGGTGAGGGGAAAGGCAGTGCCTTGCTGAACGCTGGCTTCGCCTTCTGAAAGAGGCTGTGTTCCTTGCATGCACTCTTCAGCACAGGTTAGCAACCTGAAATCGCTTGTTTTTGGAATAAGGGAGACCTCTACTGGAAGCCATACCTGAGGCACAAACTAGTTCGTTTAGGGGAAAGGTGCGCTGGCAGCATTAGCCTCGCACTGGAAGGTGGTCTGCACTTACGAGCTGAGCTTAAGGGCTGCTGGCTTACAGGTTAAGGCCAACAGGTAGGGTTGGTTTTTTTTTAATTAAAAAAAAGTTTTTTGGGGGGGAGGTAATTAGCTTTTTTTTTATTTAAAAAGTTGGGGGGGTAGGTAATTAGGTTTTATTTATTTATCTTTGATGGGGGTACTGGGGATGGAACCCAGGACCTCATGCATGTTATGCACACACATTGCCACTGAACTCTACCCTCCCCACCCCGCAGGGTTGTTAAGTGGAGGTTTTATAAAGCCTTAGGGCAGGGGGCTGGTTTCCTGGACTTTTCTTTTGGAGGAGGAAGGGTGTACGCCTGAGTGGTCTTTAGGTCCCAAGGCAGCGAACGTTAGGTTCTTTTGTTGGACTACAAAGGTAGACCTGGTTGTCAGAAAGGGCGGCTAAGTTGTTTTCTATGTCAGTTGAGCAAAACAATGAAAGCAAATGTGATTTTTTTTTAAACATTTTTTTCTCTCCCCTCCCCTAGAGGGGGTAGGTAATTAGGTTGGTTGGTTTGTTTATTCATCCGTTCATTCATTCATTTATTTAATGGAGGCACTGGCGATTGAACCCAGGACCTCATGCATGCCAAGCACACCCTCTACCGCTGAGCTGCACCCTCCCCCTCTTTTCTCCGTTATTCGGGACCTGGACTTTTGTGTACCGAGTAGCTTTTCTGAGCCATCCAGAATGTTTCCCACCAGAGACACCCGCAGTGGTAAAGTCACTTACACGGATGCGGGAGGGAGCGGCAAGCCTGCAAAATTCACACCGAGCTGAGCCGGGTTTTCTCCCCTCTGTCCCGGTTAGAGCTTGATTACTGCGCATGAGCAGTTCAAGGCCACGCTGCCGGAGGCGGACGGGGAGCGGCAGTCCATCATGGCCATCCAGAACGAGGTGGAGAAGGTGATCCAGAGCTACAACATCAGGATCAGCTCCAGCAACCCCTACAGCACTGTCACCATGGACGAGCTGCGGGCCAAGTGGGACAAGGTGGGCGACGGAGGGTGGGGCAGGCACTCCTGAAGCCGGGGTGAGCCCCCAGGGGACTGCAGACCGCCTGATGCTGCATCGTGACCAGGGTTCCCACTCACCCCGAATTTGACAGGCGTGTTTAGAAGCTAAACCGAAGCACATTAAAAATTTTAACTGTTTACTTGAACAAAAAGCAACTTGAATCAGGCTGCCTCCAATCTAGCAGATAGAAAGGGGCTCTGAGGAGCAGGACACAATGAAAGACTTTTACAGGCAGAAGTTATAGGAAGGGGAAAAAGGAAGCTACAGTGGGGAAAAACCATTGGGCTGGTTATGGCAAAGTTACTTGGCTTCCGGGGACGGTAGGGGCCTCTTGGGCAGACGTCCTCAGTAGTGCTCACCAGGCGGGTCCTGGCCCACTGGTTTAAGATTCCATTTCTGGGAGAGTGGAAATTAATTAAGTCAAGTCTCAGCCTGGCGGTGCGGGGCTTAGCATAAGTGACTCTGTTTGGGGGCCTATTGTCTTGTTTTGATCAGATGAAGTAGGCTGTTCTCTTAAATACCGTTCAGCAGCTTCTGTGTTTCGTTAGGAAAGAAAGCAGAAAGGATTCTCCTTCAGGAAAACCTTGCCAGTGTTGGCAAACTCAGCGCAGGTTATGATACTAATCCCATAAGGCAAACTATTTTTAAAACCCCAACTGGAAATGTGGAATCAGTCTACTGCTAGGACGTCATTAAAGAATGTTTAGAAAGTGGGCTAGATGTGTCCCAAGTGTGTGAGTTTTAAGTGTGGAAGAATCACTTAGACAACGCTCAGCTGGGGAACTAAAGCACCTCCTGCTAGCTTGCTGCCTCTTACATTTTGGGAAACTATCTACAGACTTAATTATAGTGAAAATGGGATCGTTTGAGCCTTTTTGTCTCAGTCTTCAATTGATTTTCATGGTTTCAGTTGCAGCGTGCCATCTCAGTAGGTGGCTATGAGTCTTTAAGGAGTAAGTCCACCATGTGGATTTGAGGTGACCTGCTATAAAAGCAGACACGCAACGGTTGTGATGTTATAAACGATGCAAAAGAGGCGGAAAAAAACAAGTATGGGAAAGAGAGTGTTCATCTCGAGAGACAGTAGTTAATTATTGTATTTGAGCTTAAAATGAGCTCCGGTCTTCTGACAGCCAGAAGGAAACATGTTGAGCCGAGCAGTTTCCTTGAAAAAAAAAGGGAAATAATGTCGTTCCTTAAAGTGAGATAAACTTTTCTACCATCACTAAGTTACAGAGCAATTTTGCCAGAGGGATTTTTGTAAAAGGGACAGTGAATAACAGTGTCTCTAGCAGCAGTTTTGCAGAAGACACACAAAAGACTTCTGAAATGGCTCTTTTGTCTGTGGATTCAAAGAGAACTGAGGCATGGCATTAAAATGTTAATCACATTCACACGTGTACGTAAGGATGAAATGGAGAAGATAAATATAGGGTGGTCCAGCGTCACACAGGAGTGAGTTCATGGACCTAGCAGTTAAGCTCTCAATTCTCTGTGTCGTGGATCCCTTTGGCAGTCTCGGGAAGCCTGTGGATCCCTTCTGATAATGACGTGTAAATTCATAAAAAATATTTAAGGTTACAAATCAAAATTATATTAAAATAGTTATAAAATATATTTTTTCAAAGGTGGGATACAGTAATGTATGTGCTTCTTTACTGACACATTTTATTATTATTTTTTTAAATGGAGGTACTGGAGATTGAACCCAGGACCTTGCGCATGCTAAGCACGTACTCTACTGCTGAGCTATACGCTCCCCAGCCAAGATCCAACAGCATGGCTAGTAGTTCTGAGCAGTGATGAGCATACACGGTATTTTGGGAGGCAGGTGATAACTGATGTTCTATGAGACTGTCTGTGACGTCTACTGTGATAAAGTCACAGGTGGATTTGCTGCCCAGGCTCATAATTGAAGGAAATGCTAACTTTCCGTTAGAGGTGATGAAAACAGAGATGGACGCAGCCCCCATGGGCTCAGTGCTGCAGGCCCAGAGCCCCTGGCCGGGGAGTGGTCAGTGTGCCTCGTGCAGACACACCCAGACTTCCAGCAGGCGCGGGTGGCACTGGGCGGCAGTCGGGGCTAGACCGCGCTCTCCCTTTAGGCCCTACAGTAGGGGCTCCCGCTCCCCTCCCCTCCCCTCTCGCCCCTGGGACTATCACCGCAGGTCAGGGCACCCCTCTGGGACCAGCCGGCTCTGACGTGCGGCCCTCGCACCCTGGCAGGTGAAGCAGCTCGTGCCCATCAGGGATCAGTCGCTGCAGGAGGAGCTGGCCCGCCAGCACACCAATGAGCGTCTGCGGCGCCAGTTCGCCGCCCAGGCCAATGCCATCGGGCCCTGGATCCAGAACAAGATGGAGGTGAGTCGGTGCCCTTCGGAGGGTGTGTGGCAGCCGCCTGGCCTCCCGCAGCCCGTGAGCCCAGGAGCGTTAGTGCCGAGCGTGGGCGCACGTGCGCTAAGGACAGACAAGGCTGTTCTTGCTTCCATCTGCCATTCTGTCATTAAAAAGGGTGAGGGGGCTCTTTCTCAGTGTTTAGCCTCTCTCTGCACGACCCAGATTTTTAACCATCCGCCCATCTCTCCAGAAAATGTGTGAAGAGTCACAAATACTTCGCGTTTTCAGAACCGTTAAGGAAGAGTCATCTTCAGATGTCACTGATTTCTGGGTTCAGTTTATCGCCAAGCACAGCCAAGAGGCATTTATTGGCCTACTTACATTTTCCCCCCAACCTCCTTTTGGGTGATAAAATGTTGCCTTTTGTTTGTTTGTTTTTGGCGGGTAGGTAATTAAGTCTATTTTAGTATCATTTAATGGAGGTTATTTATTTAATTGAACCCAGGGCCTCTTGCACACTAAGCACCTACTCTGACCCTGGCTGCGCCTTCCCTCTGTGAGCGTCCTTCTTAAAGAGGGGAGCGTCTAAGGATACGGGGATTTCTTTGGGCCGGCGATGCAGCACAGAGCAGCCTGGAATCTGTCCGGCCGCTGCGTACATGCGGGGCCCCCCGTCCTCCAGGGGAGGCAGCGCCCCCACCCCCAACCCAGCGCCCAGGGAGGCTCCCACCCTGAGGAAGGCCAGTGCGTCCCTTCTCACCTCTGGCTTTACTTTCGTGGAGCTTGGTTCTCTGGGTGGAGAAGAACCACAGCTTGTTTCGCGCTGCGGTCCCGCCCCGTTTCCTGCGTCCCCTGGGAAGTCCAGCGGCTCTGGCTGCTGCCCGATGGGGGCAGGCGGGGGGCTGGAGGTGGGGGGCTGGGGAGGGGCTCCCTGCGGCCGGCTCACGCCCCTGTCCTCGCCTCGCAGGAGATCGCCCGCAGCTCCATCCAGATCACGGGCGCCCTGGAGGACCAGATGAACCAGCTGAAGCAGTATGAGCACAACATCATTAACTACAAGAGCAACATCGACAAGCTGGAGGGCGACCACCAGCTCATCCAGGAGGCCCTGGTCTTCGACAACAAGCACACCAACTACACCATGGAGGTACGGCCGCGGGCGGGCCGGGGCCGCCCTCGCTTCTGGTGGTGCCCTCCTCCCAGCATCTGTCTGTTGCAGCTTCATTCTCCCAGCATCAGCGTGAGGGGCTACTAGGCCTCTCCTGTCCCTGTGTGTGAAAAGGCTCTGTGACCTGTCTCGAGTGTCTGTCCCTGTAAGTCATCCCCATCCTCCTCAATGTTGTTGTCACAGTCACAACAGTGAGCTCTCTGCGCTGCGCGGAGAGGCTGCCAGGAGTTGGGCTGTGGCATTTCTGTCAGTTCGGCCTTTCTGGGAGCCCGTGGGTATAATCCAGGGCCCAGCCTGCCACGTGGTTGATGGAAAGGTGTCCCTAGTGACAGACTACACGCTGTACACTTGATCTGCAAAGTGCCAGTTGCTGCTCTTAGATCCCTGGTCTCACTTCTGAGAACTTCCCACCACAGAATCTCACAAAACGAGGAAATGCAGAGGAAGGGCAGCACAGGGAAGGCCTGCGCGTCTCCCCTCGGGCCGACTCCCCCGTGGTGGAAGTGAGGGGGCGAGACTGATGTGCTGGGAGAGCCGGGAGCTGATCACTTCCTGTTTCCCTGGCAGCACATCCGCGTCGGGTGGGAGCTGCTGCTGACCACCATCGCCAGGACCATCAACGAGGTGGAGACCCAGATCCTGACGCGAGATGCCAAGGGCATCACCCAGGAGCAGATGAACGAGTTCCGGGCCTCCTTCAACCACTTCGACAGGGTGGGTGCCTCGCTCCCGCCGCTGTGAGGGGCCACGCTGGGGACGCCAGACGTGCATTTGAGATTAATACTCAGGCTGTTATTGGAGCTTCATGTCTGTAGAGGTTACAGGGAAACAGGCTGATTCATGCCACAGGACAACAGCCACCGAGGGGAGGTGTGCTGAGCTCTGATGTCCTCGGGGTGACACCAAGTCCAGATCACATCGTGACCGCCTATAGTTCACAGCTGGCAGCAGAGCTAGGCTGGTTCCACACGAAGGTGTATTCTTAAGGAGACGTGGTTTAGGCCATTTTTCCAAATACTTAAACACAAAGCTCTAGTGTACTTCTGATTAACTATTTAGTGAAGTACCTGATGAAAATTAACCTACTCTTTTGAGATATAAAAGTAACTTTTCTTTTTTAATGAACAAAATTGACTCGTGAAATGTTTTAAGGAAAATGCTCTGGCAAAACGGTGATCATTTTCACGGTAAAGGCACATGAAAAGTTAAGTGCTTCTCTTAGAATATTACCTAGTACTTTGGTTTCAATATTGTTGAGTAAAAGCAGTTCCTCACAAGAAGACCCCTAGTTTCTTACTATCCACTTAAAAGTGACTCTTTAGGCCACAGTCCACTGGTTAACAATCACTAAAAAAGTATATTCCATTACTTTGTTCGAGACCCTATTTTTGATTTACAAACATCTGTTAAATGGTTCTTAAGATGCCTCTGGGTGAGGCCGGCCATGTTCAGGCCTATGAAAGACTTCAGAAAGCAGACTTCTGACCGGGAGCTGAGGCGTGAGTACAGAGTTCCACACAGAGCTGGATATGAAAGTTAGCCTGGTTTCAGCACCACTTACTGCACAGAAACATGCTGCAACACTGAGCTGCCTTCATTCACTGACATTCAAGTCATTTTCCTCCTGCCGATCAGAGCTCCTACACACGTCCGTCTGGGCTCGTGGGGGGACAGCTCCCACTCTTTTGGGCCACCTCAGAGGGAAAAACCACATTTACTTGAATCTAGGATAATGAGACGGTCTTTTGCAACAAAAGTCCAAAGGGGGAGGACAGCCCAGAACCTGCCAAGTTTGAAAGTCTCCGTTGAATAACTGGCTTGGCCAATAGTAAAAGCGTTTTCTTACCTTTGAGTTTATGCTGATGCTTGGTCCTTAGCTGTCCTCCCAAAACCTGCAGGAAAAGCTTGAGCACCGCCACACACTTGCTGTCACACTGAGGGCTCTGTGTGGGCATGTCTGTTTCAGTGGAATGTGGGTCAGTTGGTCCTGACCTGGCCTTTTCTGGCCATGACAGCTGTGGTCCCCCGGGGCCCTTCCTGCATGCTGCTCCGGGTAGACCCTCATTGGATTTGCGTGGGAGGCTGGGTTTGCCGCACAGAGCGGCCTCTCCACCGGGTCCACCGGCCTGGGAGTGGCTGTGGGGTAACTTTCCAGCTTGGGTTGTAGCAACGTGGTCATCTTTGGGGGTGTCTTACCAGTGAGGACTGCGTGGGGCCACGCGAGAGCATCAGGATTTCTCAGAGCACCTGCAGTGTGTTCCGGCGGCAGCGGGGGCAGCACACAGCCCCCGATGAGGTTGTTCTCTGTGGCCCTGGGTAGTTCCTCCTGCTTTCTTGAGCATGTGGTCTCCTTTCATTTTTGACCACTGTTCGCCCTCCTTTCCCCCTCCTTTTTGAGAAGTTATTTTGGAACGTCCCCATGTTGGGTCTGTCCTTCCTGTAAGTCAGCAGTGACCTTTATGGACTCTTTGGCCAAGCTCTGAGTGTCCCTTCTCTTCCTGGCTTCTGTTCACTGTGCCTCTAATTCTCCACTTCTCTGTTCTCTGTACCTGTCGCAGAGGAAGAATGGCCTGATGGACCATGAGGATTTCAGAGCCTGCCTGATCTCCATGGGCTACGACCTGGTAAGACAGAGGGCCAAGTTCTACTGACACGTGACACTTCACTGAGGTTAGCTTTACGTCGTAGGCAGTGCCGGCCGTACAGAACGCAGGCAGCACACCTGGGACTGGGTCACCTCTGTTGTCCAGGGTAATACTTTGGAAGGTGTGCCTGCTACTACAGAAGAAGTTTCACTCAGCCAGAACATTCATTTTCATTCAATTATTGGTCAGATTTTTTTCCCTTTTTTCCTTGAAGTTTAGTTGATTTATAATGTTGTGTATAGTTTCTGGTGTATAGCATAGTGATTGAGTTATACATATATATATCGTCTTTTTCATTAAACTTGATTATAAGAATGTTATTCCCTGTGCTACATAGTAGGACCTTGCTGTTGATCTATTTTGTATATAGTAGTCAGTGTCTGCTAATCCGAAATTCCTAATTTATCCCCACCCCCACCCCCTTTCCCTTTGGTAACCATAAGTTTGTTTTCTATGAGTGTTTCTGTTTTTATGTTGTTGTGGCTTTTTTTGGCAGTGAGGGGAGGTAATTAGGTTTATTTATTTATTTTTAATGTGGGTACTGGAGATCAAACCCAGGACCTCGTGCATGCTAAGCACGTGCTCTACCACTGAGCTATACCCTCCCCCTTGTTTCTGTTTTGTAAGTTAGTTCAATTGTATCATTTTCTTAGATTCCACATATAAATTATACAATATTTGCTTTCTTTGTCTAACTTATTTAGTATGATCATCTCCAGGTCCATACACATTGCTGCAAATGGCATTATTTCATTCTTCTTTATGGCTGAGTAGTATTCCATTGTATAAATATACCACAGCTTCTTTATCCAGACATCTATTGAGGGACATTTAGGTTGTTTCCATGTCAGCTTTTCTTCCTAGTGAAGGAAGAGAACGTAAACTTTCCTGAAGATTTTTAAAACAGTTTAATTGAGATATAATTCATATAGTGTACAATTTGCCCATTTAAAGTGTACACTTCAATGTCTTTTAGTATCCTGCTGATTTTTAAAGTGATTTTTCCTCTAGTATTTTAGAAGGTAAAAAGTTTTTAGTAATGAACGAGCTAAGGATACCTTCCATCCCCCACGGGCTGCGAGGGTGTGGGCGGCCCCCACCCCTATACCTGTTGATGTACTGCTGGGCACGGGCTACTCCGATTCCACTCAGGACTTTCACAGAAGCATCATGAGAGCCTCTTTGGACCTGCCTTCTCTTTAGCAGTGCCCTCTTCTTGATTGTAGTCTGAGAACAGGCCTGACTCCCTTTGAATTCCTCCTCCATCATTACCTTTAAGTCCTGAAGGCAACTCGGGTCAGAGAGAGGAGGGAATTCTGACAAAATTTGGGAGCTTCTGTGTTGATGCTACAGCAGTGTTTAAAGTCACTTGGTGGCGATAAGCTTAAGTCACCCGCCAAGGGGAATCTGTTCCAGAAGTGGGAGGGAAATGCAGGGGATGTTAAGTTTTAAGTAGAAAGGAACTCGCCCTCCAGCCGGTAGAAATGGGGGAATGGCTCTGCTGGGAGGGGTGTCCGCTGATGTAAACAATGCTCCTTTCCAACCTGGCGCCAGGGTGAAGCTGAGTTCGCCCGCATCATGACCCTGGTGGACCCCAATGGGCAGGGCACCGTCACCTTCCAGTCCTTCATCGACTTCATGACCAGGGAGACGGCCGACACCGACACTGCCGAGCAGGTCATCGCCTCCTTCCGCATCCTGGCTTCCGACAAGGTCCGTGTGGACGCATGCTCTTCTGCTTGTGCAGGGTGCTGTGCTAATAAAAAAGACACAGCCACGCAAATGATGGGCATTCTGATCCTGGTGCCTGTGGTACTGATGGGCATTCTGATCCTGGTGCCTGTGGTACTGTAGCAGCGCTGAATTCAGAAAGCATGGAAGTCTAGCTGTGGTGGGCCTGGGACAAACGGAACACACACGTGCCATCCCTGCGTCTGTGCTGGGTCCTCACAGGGCCATTTATGGAGGGAACCCAGAGTGTGTATTTTGCAGAGGTTTTTGTGTGTGTTTTACTGGTTCAGCCCCACTTTACATTCCGGGTTGGAGGTTACGACTCTGAAAGGAGGAACCACGCCGATTCAGATGTTACAAAACTGAGAACCCTCTCTTAAGGATCAGTGACCCCGACTTTGTGCCCAGCCCTTGGAGCAAAGTTAGCAAAGTTAAATACAGCCGTTCAGTCATTTTAAAAACTGACAAGTTTTTCATCACCTGTAGCCTAGAAATTAAGAAGGAGTTTCCCCGCAAGTTTAGAATGTTCACATCTGGTAACAAAAACAACAAACGTCTCAGTATGCACAAATTCCGTTTGGGATATGATTCTTTTATCTGGTGTTCTAGCTGAGAGGGAAAGGAGGTTGGGATGTTAAAACATCAGCACTGCCATGTTTATTACCTTAAAAAATCTTATCAGACAAGGTAAACTGTCTTTAAAATAATTACATTTGTTTTACAATGAATCCTTTATCATATGGAAGAGGTGGAGGGGAGAAAGTCCAACTGATGTAGGAGATAATAAACTACAGGTCATCTAACCCCCTACAAAACCCTACTATAAATTACAACGTGATATTTGCTCTTTATTTGACTCTTACCAGCCAGTCTGTTTTACCAGAAATATCCTAATTCCTGGTGGACAACTGACGTTAAAAAAAAAAGAAAGATTCAATGTTAGTTGTAGTTTCCTTTAGAAAGAGGCTTTCTCCAGTGGCAGCACACTTCTAGCTTTTTAATAAACTGCATAGGAAAATGACTGCATTTGCTAAAAGCACGTATCATACACACACATACACAGATGATGTTAAATACCCCCTATGTTTTCATCGGCGTATGACGTCAACCGGCCATCCCTGTATCTTTCTGATATGAAGTTTAGATCAGAGCATTTTCACTTGCATCATGCCTCAGTTAGGGAAATACTGATGGTCGTGCCCGCTGTGTGTTTCTTTCTGAAGTGTATGAAATTCCTGCTGGCCCAAAGACCAACCACCTTGCACAGAAGCTCTCACGAGTGAAACTCAGCCTTTTGTTGGTTGTCTGGCACTAACCCCATTCGACTCCCCGCCTTTAGCCCTTTATAAAAGTTAAACAAATGTGAGCAAGGTGTAAGTGTTTAGACCATGTAGTGTAATGTCCCAGCGTTTTCTGCAACTTTGCGAACACCTGTGTGTCTCTTCCAGCCGTACATCCTGGCGGAGGAGCTGCGCCGCGAGCTGCCCCCGGACCAGGCCCAGTACTGCATCAAGAGGATGCCCGCCTACTCGGGCCCCGGCAGTGTGCCCGGAGCCCTGGATTACACCGCCTTCTCCTCCGCCCTCTACGGGGAGAGCGACCTGTGATGCTGAGTTCTGTAACCACGGGTCCCATCAGAACGCAATAAAAGCTGAAGTCACGGTTTGTTTCTTGGAAACTTTGACAAGCTTCATTAAGTTAAGAGAGAATTTTTTGCAGTTCAGTTTTTGCTAGCAGTGTTAATCTGGCTGGGGTTAAGTTTTTACAGTGTATGACATGGTGTGCTTCACAAATAGGTTTATTTCTGAGTTTTTAGCTAAATGCAATGAAATGTCAGGTGTTTTGTTGGGTCCTTTGATAAAATAAAGCAGATTACTTGAGTAGTATGGAATTAGGAGGGCCTAGGGACAGAAAAAAAGCACAAAACGGGAAAATTCCAAAACAGTCCAGATTTAAGACTAGGGAAAAAAAGCAAATGATATTTAAAAAATATTCTTTGCATCTAATTTGCTGATATGATTATCCCTAGGGGAGGATGCCGGGGATCTTGGTGTTTCACTTTCTTGCTTATCCAAAGATTAGCTCTATTTAAGGTAAATGGTACTGTTGGCCTCGTTAGCTGAATTTAATATTGTGAGATGGAACTTCCAGGGAATAGAAACAGATTATGCAAAAGATGTCTAGTACTTACAAAGTGTTCTGTGGGGATTACCGCCGGCTCTTCATTATTAGGACTACGTCGTCTAGTGAGTGGGTTTCAATGCCTTACTTACCCTCCAAAGTAGGGACCTCAGGGAACGTGGAAGACAGTTTAATTGCCAGAGAGAAAGATGGAATCGCTAGGCAAGATGAGTGTTTTAGGATTATTTCTTGATTCCAGGTTTCTGTGCTTTTTCCTGAGGTTGTCAGTATGCTAGGCTCTCCAGAGATGACCGAAGATGTCTGTAGCAATAGTTCACACAAGGGGACACACCAGAAACTGGTCCCCGTCCAGCTCCCCAGGCAGGTCTCCTTTATGCCTTTAGTTTCATGGTCTGGTAAGGAGGAGTTAGGTTACAGCAGTAGAGGTAAGTTTTTTCACTGCAGAACCTTCACATATTTGGAGGTGGATTCAGTTCGTGCAGCAGGAGTTCCTAGATGCGTCTGTTGCACTGGGGGTGCGCTCCCGCATGACTGGATGGGGGGGTCCTAGCACGTCCCAGCTCTGGCTCCGTCCGCATAGGAGCCCCACGGCAGAGGACGCCAAGGGCACCTGCCTGCATCCTGAGCTGTCAGCGTTCACCCATTTTTCTGCTCAGGCTGCCATACGCTGTACCCCCCAACCCCTACCCAGTTTTTCCATCTTGTTGACAGCTTGTAGAGAAGAAAGTGGAATTCTTTTTATAGCTGAGTCCTGAATGATCAGGAAATGAATTGCAAACAGCAATTAAAGTTTTACTAGAAAAGCAGTAACGTGCCTATTACCTACAGCCTGTCTCCTCAGACTTTTATAGCTTTCCAGCGATAGCTGGAAATGTGATATTTTCCATTCATAACTGTCTGGTAACTGAATACTTTTAACTACATTAGCCCATTTAGAACTTTCAGTCTTTATAAATTTCATTTAATTTTGCTTCATTTAGTTAAGCAGTTGGTAGTTTGCAAGTTCCTGAAATATCTCAGTCCTTGAGTTCAGTGTCAGACACTTTTGGGGTGGTGTTCAGGTGAACTCGGACTCCTTATTTGACTTCAAGCAGGTGCTATATTCCAGCCATAAACATTAAGGGGAAAACGGGAAGCTGTTCTGCCTTTGAGGCCACTGGGGGGATCTGTGGGGTTTCAGGATGGATACAGGTAGTCCATCTACCTAAAATTTTAATTTCTTTACAACATTCGGGCAAGAGAATGGATCAATACTATTTGCTAATAAATGAAAAAAGGAAATAAACTCTGAAAAAAACACTTAATAAACATGTTTATACTCTCATATTAGAAGTTTTTATTTCTGAAGCTGAATTACTGATTAAACTTAATTTGTAAAAGAAAAGGAATGCCTGTTTTTATTATTTCAAAGAATAACCAGTTTCTTTAATCATAAACGTTCCTCACTTGAAATTTCTGTCACGTTTGGGGGAGTGTATTGGAGAAGGTAATGAGGTTTATGTTTTTGTTTTTGTTTTTTTAAAAACGGAGGTATGAGGGATTGAACCCAGGACCTCAAGCATACGAGGCACACACTTTACCACCAAGCTACACTTGGCTGTTGTTTCCCAGACTTTCCTCCTGGTTCTTGTGTGTTCATGAAATAAGAAACTGGAGATGAGTGCTCTACAGCCCTGAAGTAAAAAGAAAACTCTAAATGATATAAAGTTAGAAACTTGTATTTTAAGAAGTAGGAACTTGTTACCAAGCTGACCAAGGTTGACCCACAGTTTCTTGCGTTATTTGCCAAGAAGGCATTGGGGCGTCCAACTGTGTCCACGAACTTTCTCAAATACCCAGGAGCCTACGCAGTGACTACGTTGCATTATAACACTTAATATACTGCGTGCCTGAGGCGTTTTCAAATTTCAGATGGAATCAGCAGAGAAAGAGACAGGATTTCTTTTTCCTTTTGGATTAATAATTCAGTACTTAAGCAACAGACAGACCATCCTTCCTCCTAAGCTGGGAGTTGGAGGTGGTGGTGATTTGTCAGCGAGAATCCCTAGCCTTAAAGTCTTTTTGGAATTATCTCCGTGGCATTGCTGACTTCCCCCTCGGTACACAGATGGGCAGAAGAAAGGCTGGGAGTCCAAGTTATGTGGCTGGGAACTTCCAGGAAGCCATGGTGGCAGATTTAGCGATAACCAGTCACAGGGTGTCTTTATAAGACCAGCTCCCAGAGATGGAGAAAGATTAGCTACGTCAAGAACAGTCGTAGAAGAAAAAAAGACCTTTGAATACCCAGTATGAACAATGACATGTATTTATGGTGGACATTTAATTGTGTAATTGCAGAATTACCTAGGTGACAGTGCCCAAAACCGAGGCTGGCAGCCCTGCTCACAATGACCCTCCCCTTCCACTGCCTCTGTCTCCCCCACCCCCGCCCCTCCTGTGTGTGCAGAGCCCTGGTGCTGCCCTAGAAGTCCAAGGGCCTCTCCGAGTAGCACTGCCGGGAGCACTCCCTTCCCCTGACCTGGTTCCCCACCTGCTCTGTTTCCGTGACTCACCTCCAGATGCACAGCACATTCACCCAGGATGCTGTTTAAAATTGCTGATGCCTGGACCCCCCTAGACCACACAAACCAGAAGATTCAGTAGTGGTGGGAGTGGGAGCCAGCACTCAGCTTGATTAGCTCCCCGACCAGTCACTGCAGGGTGGGAGCTGAGACCGCTGTTCTAGGCTGTCAGAACATGACTTTTCTGTGCTTCAGGACCCTGCACTCTGCCTTGCTGCTAACTGCACAAGCAGACAAGTGCAGGGAGGTGATGTGCCAACAGCAGTCACGCCAGGTGGGGGGACCAGCCCTCTCTCTCCGCCGCCACTCCCACACGCACCTCATACCCATCCTTTCCTGAGCAGGCTTGTTTCTAAAAGGTCATCCTTTCGTCGAATTGTTTCCAATGTTTCAGATGCTGGAGAGGGCTCTGAAGCCCTTCTCCAGTGGGGCAAATCCTGCCATGCCCCAGGTCTGTCTCCTCCTTTGAGACGCTTTCCCAGCCAAGCCACCCTTCACAGGTCATCTCTCCCCTCCTTCCAGGGTTTGCTCTTGCTCCTGCTTTAAGCATCTCGCGCACGGCCCTGTGTTTGTGCTGGGCTGAGACCACTGAGGGCAGGAACTTGTCTAAACTTTAGCGTGGGACCAGGCACGTGGCAGGCAATGAGCACTGAATGAACAGTTTTGCACGCTGGCGTGAGTTTGAGTATGACTGAGTAGGACCCGCAGGAGTGAGAAGAGGTGGAAATAATCCGGCCAGTGGCTGGCTGGAGAGGGGAGGGGAAGAATGCAAACGATGCATGACTTAGAGGCACGGTCCTCCCGCAGGTGTGCACGTCCACTGAAGATGTCCCAGTGCTTCATGGAAATGGATGCTTCTAGTGCATTTCTAGATCTTTAACTTCCTCCTTAATATCACGGGGTCTCCTCTGTTACTTTGGCTCGCGTAAGCACCCTTCTCCTACTTTTCGAAAGAAGAGCACACCCCTCGTCCATTCTAAATCTTACCAAGGTCCATCTACCTGTAAAAATCTCCAGGGCTCAAAACAAGGGGTTATTTTTAAGTATTATTTTGGGGAATCCCTAAAGAGGGGCTTGATTGAGGCACCATACCCCCACCCTGAAATTTTCCATCTCTTCCTGTCTCATTCATTGGTCTGCTAAAGGCGAAGTTGGCATTGGGAATGGGACTTGCTGGCCTTTTGGGGGCATTCTGAAGTCTGAGTGTGTACCACACAGTGTGGGGTGGCAGTGACACCCGTTTTCACTTGCTGACCTTACACTCTGTACTCCTGGTACCGCCAGGATGAACTGCTCATGAGGGAGATTAGTGACGGAAGATCGGAGCATCAGTAAGAAACAAACAGCTTTCTAGGGGTCGTGTATTTAACCACTAAGCAATTCTGTAAAGCTACTTTCAAGAATAATCCTTAGAATGAGTTAGCCAGTTAGACAGCACCACTGAATAACCAGGGCAGCCCAGGCCGGTAACGGGAGTGCTTTCTGAGACAAACACCACTTTCAGACTTCACTAGACAGAACCTGTGGTCATTGTTTATGTAATTTCTTTTAGACTTGATGTATATTGTACAAGAAGGCATTAAGAGCATATTTATCCAAGCGTATAAACTATTCCTGTTACAATCTGGAACTAACTTCATCAAATAAAATATTTAGCAGGCACTATTTCATGTTGGCTAGAAAATAAAATTTATATTAGGTATCAGGCCAACTGATTTACTCTGTTAAGTACTCTGGAAACATTCGATCAGAATGTCTAAGAAAATTCAAGGAATTATTCCTTAATTTTATGCATGGTTTTTATTTAACAATTCCCAAACACAAGTTCAGTACACACAAGCCCACTGTTACCAAAGAAGTGCCACTCCTCCTAGGACCCCGCCTTTCTTCATGGATAACTTAAAACTGTAGCTACGTATTATACTGCATAAATGAGAACAATTTTACATAATGAAAAATTTAATTACATTAGCACAACAGCATTTTACTCTTGGCTTAACTGCCTTTACAAGATCAGTTGCAATATTTATTTCTCAGTAGTCTTTATACTCTTCCTCAAAATGTGTTGAGTTTATTTGAATTGAAAATGAAGTTGGATTTTTTTTTTAACCACAGAAAATAGGCTGATTTAGTTAATTATTTAGCCTGACTTGGGTAATTAGGCTACATGGGGGGAAATTTACCATTTCTTCAGTTATCTAAATCTGAGTCTCCAATGTTTGAAGAAAATATAATTAAAGCACACAATCACATAAAAGCATTTTATTAAGAAAGGAACTGAGGTGGGGAGATGACTCACAGCTCACCTTCTCCCACAAATACACCAAGAATTACATCTACAGATCCACTGAATCGCACAGAACACCTACTGAACTCTGGCCGAGTGTCTCTCACTTCAAAATACAGGAGGATTCCTTACAAAATCCAATAGGAGGAAAAAAAGAAAAGAAAAGAGAAAAAGACAGTCGGTGCAGGACTGGTCCTGCAGGGAAGGAGCGGCATAGGAAGAAAGGCACCCTCACGGTGGGCCGCGCCCTCTCCAGCCAGGAGGTCAATGGGGACAGAAGTGGAGCTTCCAAGGTTCAAGGTTGGGAGTAGAAAGCAGTAGCCTTTGGCAAACAAAACAGAGAAACTGACACGGAGGGTCCCTGCGATCTGCGCCCTAGATGTGAGCTGGGAGGGAAAAGCTGGGGCTGGCTGCTGGAGATGGGTGAGGGGCCTGGGGCCCACTGTACAGGGGCAGCCTCAGAGAACTGGAGGGCGATGTGAGCTCTGGCTGGGGGTGTGTGCGGAACAGAACAACCTAGGACCCACATAAAAAAGCACCACTGCTGGTGTGCATGGTGGGGAGGGCCACAACACAGCTGTGCCATAACCTGTCTCCACTTGGCTCCACTGCTGGTGTGTTCTCATGAGAAGAGAGGTGGGGCTCGGTCATAGCCATCCCTGCTGCGCGGATTCGGGGCTGAAAGCTGAATCCTACCCAGCAGCCCTGCAACTTCACAGGTGGGACTGAGATCTGATTACAGCCCCAGGCAGAGAGGGCAGACATGCCGTCTCTGGACCCTTTGTGGACCCGAGCCTCTGGGATGAACGGGCAGTAAGTGGAGTTCTGAGTAACAGCAGGGGCGGTACATGTATTTATGTTGGCCAGCATACCATACTGTATGCAGAGGCTGGGTGGGGTCTGCACTGACCCTGTTGTGCAACAAGGATTCAGGTGCATACTCGCTACAGTGGGTCTTAGCACCTGACACCGGCAGATCTGCACTGTTGGTTCTGTGGGCCCAGAACCTGAGGGACACCAGAGTGGGTGGCTGACATTTCCACAGCTAAGGCAGGGACAAAGGCAGCGTCAACAAAGAGTATTTTATAAGCCCACATAGCAAGTGACAGACACCACCACAGAGGGCACATCCCAGTGGACATCTCCTGCCTACTTTTCTTCCCAGCTGAAGTGCTCCAAACCTGCCTACTACATACCACAGCTCAGAAATGGGTCTAGAAGCCTCTATCCCAGCAACAGGGGAGCAGACCAGGCCTTTGGCAAGGCTGTGACAACAAAGGAGGCCCTGCTCAACAACAACAATCAAGGCAGACTCTGATCACCACAGCACCAACTACACCCCCAATCAAGGGGTAACAGCCAACACACACTGAAGAAAGATGTGGCAACCAACCATACTAAGAGCCATTGCAACAAAACTATTAGATGTACACAGTCTACACAGGAATGCTCCCACTTTAAACAAATAAAAAACCC